TCTCTGTATAGCCCTGGTTGTCCTGGAACTCATTCTGCAACACAGACTAGCCTCAAACTGACAGATTCACCTTCTCTGCCTCTTGAGTGCTGGGATTAAAGTCATGTGATAACACACCTGGCTGTTGTGCTGTGGTTTTATGATGGCCATGGTACCACTAGGCAAGGGTAAGTTTTCAATTCTATTGTAGGCTTATGAGATCATCATCATCATATAGTCAGGGCATCATTAACTAGAATACACTGATGATGTCACTCATCAGTTCATGTCCTTCCTGTGCATTTTAAAGTAAACTGAAGGCATTAGCACACTTGAAAAGAGCATTGTTTACTCAAGTTCAACCTGTGGAGACAATTCCTTTTCCTCTTATGTATAATTTTCTTATAATACCTTTCATATGTTTTAAATGTACACTTGTTGAGTTTTGGCAAATGAATAGACATTATTCTGATATTTTTCCACCCAAAACTAGAGTTTCCCATTCTAGGATTTCATATAAATGGAACATACCGTCTATACTCTTTTGTAGCTGCCTCAATAATTCAATATAATGCTTTCTGAGATTTACTCATGGTGTCATATGTATTACTTCTTCCCTTTTTATTACTGAGTGCTATTTTATGGATATACTCTGATTTGTTTTCCATTCTCTTATAATGGATAGACACCTGAGCGTTTCTAGCTTTTTCACTCCAATGAACAGGACAGCTATGACTATTCTTACATAAGCCTTTTTTATGAACGTTTCTCTTGATTTCTCTTGGGCATGTAGGAGACATGGAATTGCTAGGTCATAGCACATGTGCTTATTTTATGAGAAGCTGTGAGAGATTTCCAGAATGAGTGTGACCATTTGACACTTTGATGAGTAGGTATAAGCATTCTGGCTTCTCTGTGTCCTTGGCAACATTTGGCACAATATATTTAATCTTGGACAGACTGCTGGATGGAGTGTGCTGGTTCACTCCAGTCTCCATTTGCGTTTCACTGGTGACCAATGAGACACATTCACATTTAATCTAGTTTTACTTCTATAGTCTTTCTGACTTCCTTGTAAAGTTATCCAAGAGATCCCCTTTAGCAGTGGTCCAGGTTTCAAAGGCTTTCTACTTTGGATGACTTCCTTGGATTCACAGGGGACACAGATGTGTGGGTGAGGTCCTGCACACACAGTGCACAGCTTCAAGGGAATAGACATTGACCTATGGTAAACATCCCAAGATAGAATGGTGGTTTCCAACACAAACATTCACAGCTCCAGGTTTCATAGAATAGCCCCTGGATGGCTAAGACATGTTTTAAAAAATAAACCATGTAAGTTCTTTATACCTTTTATGAACTAGACTGAGACAGGAGCTTGGCTTTCTGAAGCTAGGTTTGGAATGAGAATTGATATATAATTGAGGTTTCCCAGGACCTGGTGTGTAAACATCCTCCTCTGCCTTCTGTCTCCATGAAAGGCAACTGCCCAGTCAGCACTTTGCCATTCTGGCTCATGAAGGATCCTCTTCTGCTTAGAATGAACAGCAGCTACTTGGGTCTTTAAGGTTTAATTAGTAGGAATCTGACTTATTTTGGTCTTATAATCATTCACTTTCTCAGGACATAGGGAAAGGGGAGGCGAGCTATGGGAAAACCTTAGTATGAATTAACTTCATACATACTGGTTAGTTTTTAGTTAACTTGACATAACCAAGGGCCAGCTGGGAGTGAACTCCATTGAGAAAATGCACCCATCAGATTGGCCTATGGGCAAAGTCCGCGGGTGGTTTTCTTGATTAATGGTTGATTTGTGAGGGTCCATCCCTTCAGGGATGGTGCCACCCCTAGACACGTGATGATGGGTTGTATGAGAAAGCAGTCTCAGCAAGCTATGAGGAGCCAGCCAGTAAGCAATGCTCCTCTATGGCCTCTGCTTCAGTTCCTGCCTCCAGGTTCCTGCTTTGAGTTCCTGCCCTGACTTCCTTCAGTGACGGCGAGTGACCAGGGAATATAAGCCAAATAAATTCCTCCACCCACCCAAAAAAAACCCAGTTGGTTTTGGTCAGTGTTTTATCACAGCAACAGAGAAGCAAGCTAGCAAAACACACCTTTTAGAAAATTATATTTAATTATTTACATGTGTGAGTACGGACCTCTGTGTGGAGGTCAGAGGGCACTCACCTCTGTTCTCATTCCAACATGTGGGTCCCAGGGATTGAACTTGGGTCATCAGGTTTGATGGCCAGTGCCTATACATGCAGAGCCATCTCACTGGCATCTCTGGACCTTGTGATCTAGGTTATTGGGAGGTTCATGGGGAAGAAACACAAAGTCAACACCAAGTTGATGTGTGTGAGGAAAAGCCCAGGGTGGGGGCCATTTTGATGATCGGTCTTTATGTCTATTGATGCTATTGATGCCCCATGTTTCATTTTCCTCATTAGCCAAATAGGAAAGGTATCAATGGCTACCCCATGAGGAAAGCATAATCTATTACTCTGTGCTTGCCTTCTGCCCTCTAGGGCACTTATTCCCTCCAGCACTGGTGTACCCCCAAATAAAACCCACCAAGTCTCTGTGTGACATCCAGTGACTGCATCCTTCTGAACTTCAGTTTCCTAAACAGTGTTTTAATTATGATGGAATCTACATGCTAGATAATAATAACTCAATAGAGATAATTCTCAATAAAAACTCAATACTAGCCATTCTGATGTGTAGATGTAACCAACCATCTTATTAAATAAGAAACACAGAACCAATGCAAAGAAGAACACCAAGAGGTCAGAGCTAAGAGCTAAAACCTTACCCTTCCTCTCACAGTGGTCCTACCTCTCTGAAAGAGACCTACTTCCTGTGTGTCTGTCTTTATAAAGACTTTCTGTTCTGCCTTCTCATTGGTTGTAAACCCAACCACATGACTGCCTCGTCACTGCCTGTCTGTAGACCTCCAGGTCTTCTATGGTTAGTATTGAGATTAAAGGCGTGTGGACCCAATGCTGGCCGTATCCTTGAACACACAGAGATCTACTTAGCTTTGCCTACCAAGTGCTGGGATTAAAGACGTTGACCATCACCATCCAGCTTTCGCTATGGCTTATTAATAGCTCTGACCCCCGGGCAACTTTATTTATTAACATACAAATAAAATCACATTTCAGTACAAATAAAATATCACCATACTGATGGGTGTAAGATGGTATCTCAGAGTCATTTTGATTTGCATTTCCCTGATGATTAAGGATATTGAGCAATTCTTTAAATGTCTTTCAGCCATTTGAGCTTCTTCTGTTGAGAATTTTCTGTTTAGTTCTATAGCCCATTTTTTAAATTGGACTGCTGTTGGGTATTTTGATGTCTAATTTCTTGAGTTCTTTATATATTCTGGATATCAGCCCTCTGTCAGATGTGGGGTTGGTGAAGATCTTTTCCCATTCTGTAGGCTGTCGTTTTGTCTTATTGACCATGTCCTTTGCCCTACAAAAGCTTCTCAGTTTCAAGAGGTCCCATTTATTAATTGTTGCTCTCAGTGCTACTGGTGTTATATTTAGGAAATGATCTCGGGTGCCAATGAGTTCAAAACTACTTCCTACTTTCTCTTCTATCAGGTTTAGAGTAACTGGATTTATGTTGAGGTCTTTGATCCACTTGGACTTAAGTTTTGTGCATGGTGACAGATATGGATCTATTTGCATCTTCTACATGTTGACATTCAGTTATGCCAGCACCATTTGTTGAAGATGCTTTCTTTTTTCAATTGTACAGTTTTGGCTTCTTTGTTGAAAATCATATGTTCATAGCCAAACTAGCGGAAACATGTGAATTGTGAACCAATAGCTGAGGAGCCCCCATGGAACTGGACCAGGCCCTCTGGTTAAGTGAGACAGTTGATGAGTTTGAACTGTGTAGGAGGCCCCAGGCAGTGGGACTGGGACCTGTACTTGATGCATGAGCTGGCTTTTTGGAACCTAGGACCTATGCTGAGACACTTTTCTCAGCCTTGGTGCAGGGAGGAGGGGACTGGACCTGCCTCAACTGAATCTACCAGGCTGGGCTGACTCCTCAGGGCAGACCTTGCCTTGGAGAAAATGGGAATGGGGGTGGATGCGGGGGAAGGCTGGGGAATAAGAAGAGGGAGGACAGGGGAATCCGTGGCTGATATGTAAAATTAAATTAATTATAAAATAAAAATATTTATTAAAAACATCAATACTAGATAATAACTCAAAAAATACTGAATGTTGTTATAAACTTCACTTGATGGAAATTATATAACTGTTAATAAAGAAAAGCTGCATATAAAATATTGACCCTTACTTAAGGTGCCATAGTATGTAGGAAAAGCAGGATGCCATATTACTTCTATACCATAAGGATAAACATGTAGAATAACCAGAGCCAAGCACTCACCAGAAAGTACTGAAAAGAAACACAGATATGCCAATGGGAGGTGGGATGGAGGAGCATGTTCACAATGTTCACAATGCCTTCCTATAGGGAGAAAGTGCCTTTTTGTTTTTAAATATATATTGTTATAATAGTAATAATTATCATCACCACCATCATCACATGTCTGTGTGTGCACACACATGTGCCAAAGTGTATGTGTGGAGGTTAGAAGACCACTTTTGGAAGTTGATTTTCTTCTTCCACTACAGAATCCAAGGATTGAACTCAAGTCATTAGGTTTGTGTAGCAAATGTTTTACTCACTGAGATATCTTTCTGGCTCTTTTATTTTTTTTAAATTTTTAAAAATTAGACTTACATGCATGTATGTCTGTGTGTACATTTATGCATGTGAGTGCAGGTGCCTACAGAGGCCAGAGACATTGGCTCATTTGGAGGTGGCGGTACAGGCAGCTTGTCTGGGAATTGAACTCAGGTCCTCTACAAGAGCAGTGTGTGTTCTTAACCACTTGAGCCATCTCTCCGGCTCTCACTAGCCCTTACAAATCATCCTTGGGGGTCTCTTTAAAAGCCAAACTAACAGCAATGGTCTCTGTCTTTTCTCTCCAGTTTCCTGGCATTTAACACTGACACAGTGGGCCATCTTGCCTTTTTGCTGAAAGCATTGAATTTTCGAGAAAGGGTTCTTCAGCGGAGTTTGGTGTCCAGAATTTACAATAAGGTAAAGAATTTGTTATATTTTTTCCCTTTTGATGAATGTGTAAGGTATAGCTGAACTCCATGATAAATTTAGCAGCGGATGAATCTGCATACTCGGAGGCTTGGGGAAGTGGTCAGGTCTCTACAGGCTGTCTTACAGGGCAGCCTTGCCTGCTCTGGAAGAAGCACCATGCTACTGTTTAACCCTTTGTGTCCTGTTCTAGAGTCCTACCTATGAGCATCATTTGGCACCATAGCAGGTGCAGAGTGTAGGGATTTTCACTGGAAATGAAAGACCACCATTCAGATGTAGAACAAATGTCAAATATTGTCCTTGGGAGAAAATGTGTGCATTGAACATATGTAAAATTAGCATTGTGTTCGTCTGAGGTGCATTGCATTTCCCGTTAAGAAATTTATGGATTTCTGTGAAAACATAATGCAGCACGTGGGGAGATGGCTCAGTTCTTAAAGTGGTTACCCGACAAGCATGAGGACCTAAGTTTGTATGTCCAGTACCCCACCATGCACACACAAAGCTGAGTGTGGTAGCACATGCCTGTAATCCCAGTGCCAGAGAAATAGAAACAAGAGTTTCCTTGGGGTTTGCTGGCCACCCTGTGTAGTCAGTGGGTAAGCTCCATGTCCAGTGAAAGACTCTGTCTCAAAAACAAGCGAATAGAAACTAGAAGGGATTGGGGAAAGCACCTCATGTCGATTTCTGATCTCCACATGCATGTGAACATACATCCACTCACCCACACAGACCTACATACAGGTACCACACACAAACATACATATGTACAAAAATGCATACCTTCATTAATAGATATCAAGAAGGAATAGGCATCATGCAGAGTGCCAGTGGGGTTGGTTTGATGAAACACTCCAGCACTTTATGTTTTATCATTTGGACCAAGGCAATTGGTCAACAAGACCCCAGAAAGTTTCATCCGTCCACTCTTGATCTTGAGTCAGTGTTCAGAGCTGAAGAACCAGGATACAGAGAGCTGTGCTTCTTCTGTACTCGAACTAGGTGCTAAAGGGACCAGAACTGAGTCCCTGGAACTCTCTTTCAATCCACCTCCTTTTATATCAATTATATAGTGATGTCATCTAGTCCAACACAATGGAGCTAGGAATAAAGAGAGTGCAATCCGTGTAGAGACAGGCATTGTCTCAGGACACGTGCTGGAGGCAGGAGACTCCTGGAGACACAGAAGCAGTTAAGACTCACACTTATGGGACAGAGCCACACTGTCTAGGAACTTCTAGGAAGCTGGGCTCAGGGGTGAGCACAGTCCATCCCTCAGGCAGAGATAAGAGGTGACGCTCTGCCTGACCACAATGGCGCAATCACGTGATTTAAGTCACTCCACCCACCCTGGCCTTTTCACAATGGAGACGGCTGCAGAGAGGGAAGTCTACAAACCAGGGCAAAGATGCAGCTGGAAGAATAGAGACAGTGAGTGCAGCCTGCAAACCATCTTTTGAACACTGGAGAAGAAAAGGTTGAAGATGAAATTGCAAGAGAGGGGGAAAAAATGATAGCAATCCAGCCAGTGGGAAACTCCAACGTGCCAGAACAAAGGGGGCCACAGTAATAGTCATAGACACAATGGAACGATACTTCCTTTGTACTGAAAAACGTGTTTGTGGGAGGAAAGCCTGCACCTGTGGCTCATAGGTTCATTACTTTTCTCGCTGTTGTAACAAACACCTGACAAAAACAGTGTCAGGAAGGTTTGTTTTGGCTCACAGTTTTGGGGTGCTTATCCACTCTAACAGTGGAGGCATGGCTGCCTGAGCTTGAGACAGCTCATCACCCTGTCTGTATCTGCAGTCAGTGGTTGGCTCCCTCCCTCCCTTTCTATTCAGCCCGGGACCCAGCCAGCGGGACCCACCAGTGGGATCCTACTGCCTGCATTCAGGGTAGATCTTGCCTTCTCAGTTAGACCTTTCTAGAAATACCCTCATAGGCACACATGCAGGTGTGGTTTCATGGTGATTCTGCTGCTCTTAATTCTATTCCCCACATAGTATAGATGCTCTGAGACTCGCTAAACACTCAGAAATATTTTCTGTTTACAATTGTTCACTGCCAGAGGAGGAGTAATCGTTTTCATTAGTGTCTATTCTGATTTCGAGAGAAGAAAACTTTCACACATGTGAGTGTGTTTTCCAAACATCAAATAAACACTAGGCAAAGGATGTGCTGAAAAAAACTGGAGAGGGCTTTAGAGCCCGACAGTTACCATTCGCTGCTGCCAGACTTCAGCGTCCTCTTCTGTAATTTGGAATAATAAGGCTGAGCGCGATGCAAATGTGCCGCATGGCTCGAATACCACTGGATATGTAAAGCAGCTGTCGAGATAAGCAGCTGTCGAAGCGCTAACTCTTACCTTCATGTTAATTACCCAAGTTTCCACCGTCTGTGTGACCTGTTTATAGACAATACCATTAAATATTCATAGCACACAAGACAGTTTCAAGGGCTAATCAGAAAAAAGACCACGAAGATTATCAAGCCGGCTCCTGCCTTGGGGAAAGTCTACATCTAGTTTTAGCCTGAGGCAAAATTAAGACAAAACCCATAAGGTTAGTAGAAAGAATATGGACATCTATTGTTTTGGTTTGTGTTTTTCTCTCCTCGGCTTGTGTTTGCTTCCATAGATTGTGTATTGTCATAAAGTGATTCTTAACAGCAGTTTGAACATCGAACCTGAGCAGAGGTTGGTCAATAGTCTTTGGCTAGTGGTCAAAGAAGAGACGGTTCATCCAGCATCCATATCTTCCTGAAAACAGCTGTAATGTTTGGCTTAGAGCTTTCAGATGAAAAGGCAAAGCCCTGAGGGCCTCGGGAATCTGTGTGTCTTCCTAGTTCTTTGATAAAACTTGGACTAGTTTTTCTTCCTCAAAAGCACATTCTATTACAGACATGTTTGGCCGACCTTCTTAGTGCATTGGACAGCCACTCTGCCTCCCATCCTGCAGTGGCCAGTGGGTCCCACAGCAGAACTAGCCTTTGCAACCATTTGACAATGTGTTTCTCTGCCCCGAGTAGTCAGGTTTTCACTCAAAAGGATTCCCAGGGAAGCCTTTGCCTTGGAGAGCTCTTGTTCCCTGAGCTCCCGTGGGGCCTCATTTCTCCAGTTTTCCAAACCTGTGTGGCAAGGACAATTCATAGTTGCTGCCTCGGTTCCCCACTGGTAGGAGAAAACACATGCCATTGAGCAATGGCTTGTCACATTGAGAATATTGCATCATGAAAAGCTGCCCTTCTGCAGGGAAACTGTAGACAGGAAGATGAATCATCAGTAATCAGTTTGTTTGAAAAAAACGTGACTTTACTTGTAAATGTACATGACAGAAGCTGGATGGGTAGCAAAGTGAGAATGTAGGTAAGTGAACTAGTCCTAGCTAGTTACGGGTGGTTGTGGTTCACCTGATGTGGGTGCTGGGAACCAAAATGTTCTCTGTGAGAGCAGCACTTTGCTGGTGACTACGGCGGAGCTGTCTTTCCAGCCCTAATTCTTAAGTTTAAAAACAAACAAGCAGGCTGGACAGATGGCTCTGTGATTGAAAGCATATCACATACAGCTCTTTCAGAGGGCCTGGGTTCCATTCCCAGCCCCCATGTCAGGTGGCTCACAATGGCTGCAACTCCAGCTCCAAGGAATCTAATGCCCTCTTCTGGCCTCCACAGACGCTGCACTCACATGCTTATACCTCTGGACACGTAATTAAGAATAAAAAAATTTAAAAAACAAAAAACCCAGCGTGGTGACTGGAGCAAGCAGGTACTTTCCTAAAAGTCTTTTGGCACAGAATTAGCGAGAGCTTTTCTCCAAACACAGATCATTAGTCAGAAAATGGAATGAGAAATCACATGTCCCGGATTCATTGTTTATGTTGAACTCATTTTCTTTCTCCTCGTGGTCTAGCTGGGCTGGGAAGATGACCTGATGGAGGGATCTTTCTGTGTCTTTGGAGCATGGTGGCTGCATTTCCAAGGGTCACTTTGAACAAAACTGCAACTTCCTCTCAGCTGGCTAGTGTTATAACTTCTGGAATGTGAAACAGATTCCTATTGCTCAATGAGAGATTAGGGCTTAAATCCTTAAACTCCTGACACAGGGAAGAGGTGATGTGGCCCAGGAAGGAGTGGGTGGTGGTCTGGAGAGTTCTGGGACTAGAGAGGCAGGAAGCCCCAGGGCAGCCGGCACTCTCCTCCCAGCTTCCACTGCTCCCAGGCATTTGCATAGCTCTTCCCTCTTCATTGTGGCCATCATTACTATCTTAAAGCCCACTTAATGAACTCTCTCTCTCTCTCTCTCTCTCACACACACACACACACACACACACACACACACACACACACACACACAAAATCATTCATCCCCTTGGAAGGGATCCTTGAGATCATACAATCAGACCCACTCATTACGGGCAGTCAGCCTGGGATCAGGAGTCCACGTTTCTTCTGTGTTAGTCACCAGTGGCAAGACTAGGACAGAGGAATGTCCAGATGTGAGACTGTGAGGACAGCTGACTTTTCCTGTTAGTGGCTCTGCCTTATAACCATTGGTACTGGCTGATTTCTTGGCTAGGAAGGAGTTTCTGTTTTCCCCATTCCTGAATGTATTACTTGGCCTCTCCACAGATTATTCATTCAGTGAATTCCTATTTATATCAGGATGGATGCATAGGTAATTATTTTATGCTTTGAGTTATAATCTAATACTGTTGATTGTTTTCTTGATCAAATTGTTCCAAGTTTTGGTCATGGTGAGCTGTTTTGTTGAGGTTGGTTTCTATGTCCCTTTGATACACACCCCACCACCTCTGTCTTCCTTCCTGTCTCTCTTCCTCCCTCCCTCCCTCTCTCCCTCCTCCCCCTTCCTTCCTTCCTCCTCCCTGTAGCTGGAAGTTTCCTTGTGTTCTACCCAGCCCATGGTCGGGACAAATCTCTCCCACTCATGTCCCAAAGCTGATAAGTCCCGAATAAACACACAGAGGCTT